ATCATATAAGTCAGGCATTGAAATGTTTAAGAAGCACTGGAATGACTATTTTACCTTTGAGGAAAGTACATTGTTGAATAAAGTCGAATTTTTTCAAAAACTTGTTACATTGGTTATTCTATGGACTTGTCACCAACTTTACTATTCAAAATCCCTATCTATTTACTCATGTTTACTTCTATCCTCCACTGTACTCATTCCATCTTATTTTGCAGTACTTTTTTAAGAAGGGATGAAGTGATTACTATACTCTTGAAGAAAGTAGATTGTTGAATAATGTCAAATTTTTTCAAAATGTTGTTATATTGGTTATTCTATTGACTTGTCACCAACTTCAGTGTTCAAAATCCCTATCTATTTACTCATGTTTACTCCTATCCTCCACTCTGTTCATAATATCTCATTCTGCCATAGTTGTTTACAGTACTTGGTTGGTGTTTGGTACAACCTCCATCGATTTCATTAATAAGTTATATATTTTTCTTTTAGAAATTAAACTGAACTATCAATGTTTCAATTGATAACCAGTAGTTGCGGTGATGTCTCCCAACAAGTGAACATTCATTCATTCATTCAAAACAATAACAATTATCTAACTTTATCTTGGCACATGCCGAACGAACTGTGAACCTCACGTAAACGCCGACTGAAGACCAACTATTCAGATTTGAACAATGAATTTCGAGTTCAGAACCAAACTTTGCTTCCCAACTGCTCTGCAGTTGTCTCTGCACAAGAGATAAGACTTTCAATTATGTTTTTAATCTAATAAGAATATTCAACAAATAATCTCAATTCCAATAAGAATGCATTCACTTTACTTTTATTCTTACTTAAAATAACTTTTTGGTGTCTTTTGTTGGTTCCAGATTGCAACTTTAATGGGGATTTCCTCTTAAAATTGTTGGCGTCGTCGTCGTCGACGACGTCGTAGTAGTAGTGGTGCTCCAATGATTTCTTTTGTTTTTGTTTTCATTATTTTTTATGCAATTTCTTATTTTATTTTATTTTATTTTTGTTAATGATTTCCACTTCCTCTTACTTCTCTTCCACTCTTCTTACCTACTTTTTCGTTGGTAGAATGTGCTTTTTTTATTTATGTCTTTTACTTTGCGTTTTATGGTTCTTTGTTATTTTCGTCATCGTCGCTATATTTTTTTTTGTTTCTTTTGTTTTTATTTTTTTTTTGTTTTTAATATTTATTTTGGTTTTTGGTTTTGTATTTGAATAAAGACAAATTCTGTTGTAGCTTATTTTGCTGCTTGTATTTGGAATGGAGACGATGAATCATTTTGTATGCTGACTTAAGTAAAACTCGTGTTTTTTTAGTCACTTTTTATTTTAATTTTTTTTTTTATTTATTTTTTCCCCATTTTTCATATAAAAAATGTTAAAATGAAGAGAAGTGCATTTGCTAACGACTCAGCGGCTACGAGATGCAGCAGCATTGGAACAATGCAACGTTATTGTAAGTTTGTATGGAGCAAAGTGCAAAAGCGCGAATCAAGCCCGCGTCTACCCAAGATGCACAAGAAGAATAAAAGAAGAAGAAGAAATGAAACAATGAAAAGTTTTAAGAGATTAATTCCTGTGTTGTATGGAAGAAAGGAGTTCAAACATGACACTCTTGGTTCTTAGCTGGAAATATGTTAATTGAGTTCATTCGCTTGTGGTGCCCCGGTATTTCAGAGGAGGGTGGCAGCCAAAGAGCTCGGTGTTGTCTCATCTCTTGATATGATTTAGAGTAAAAGTATTACTGATAGCGCCGTTTAAGACATCCTAGATTCATTATCTAGAAATCCTTTCGGTACTTTGAAACGGTTTCTTGACTCCATAATTTAATAATAAAAGAGCGGTTAGAACTGTAGAGGGTTCTTTAAATTTCTTAAGGAAACCTCAGTTTAATTTGAAAATAATTGGATAATTATTTGAAAATTGGATAAGAAATATAGTGACAGACTATAGGTCTGACTATATAATCTAGTCAGAAGTGTTTTTAAAAAGTTTTATTTATAATAGAAATAAATGTCATGGGAAGTGGAATATAATTATAATATAATTACAATAATAGTTGACTAGGCACATAAAATGTCTCACTCAGAAAAGTTTTTAGAAATTCCTTTTTATAATAAAAATAAATTTAAAACAAAGTTTTACCTTTAAACTTCGCAACGCTTGAATTTAGCTTTACGGAATATGATCCGTTGTTACTGCATAAGTACTCCAACTACATTACTCACTTACTTTGGTGGTCATTACAGACTACAAAGTAAGTAAGATTACAGACGCCCGGTATACCAATCGAACATATGCAATCAATGCTTTTTATCAAGGAACGTAACTAGTTTCCATTTAAATGACGTCTAAACGTATTCCATACAGATGGACATAATTATACTGCTACGTTATCGAATTCTAGGCTTTAGTAAGTAAGTATTAATCAGCTTTGATATCATTAAGGGCTAAAACTACCATACAGGTGCAGTAACTTTCTCAAATTCTTACAAACAATCAATATTGGCTTTTAGCTTATATCCATATATCGTCTCTAAGAAAAGGAGTCGACGTTTAACACAAGAAATGTTCTGAGTCAAATTGTATCAGAGCATTCTAGCCACGTGGTACTTGCGATTAATTGACCTATTTATACCTACAGTGTATTCAAACTGTTATAAAGTTAGGTAAGCATATCATATAGGAAACTGACAAATCTGATGTAACTTTCTATATATTATACCATTTAGTAATGACCAAAAACTATTCATCATATGAGTGTCTGTATCATATGGCATAAGAGACAGAGTTGAAAAGAAGTATTTTGATTCAATTGAACTTCGATATCGTTTATTTCTACAGTATGATTAAACTGCAGTTTACATTAATTGGTGCCTGATTCTCATGTGGCTCTGTTAGAAGTGCAAAATTCTTGATATTAATTTAAGTAAGACTCAATCTAATTATGTCTGTCTCTTTAATATATTCTCTCATCTAAAATACTTTTCCTGATTTTCTATCGTTAATAATGTAGCTCCGTTATGCCCCATAGTGCCACCCACGATATATGGCGGAATAGCCACATCTTTTCTCTTTTAAGTTAAACAAAGAGTCTAATTGATTTACTTGTACAATTACGGATCTATAATTACTTTCGTGTTACTAATGTTACTTATTTTAAGTAGTATTGTAAAATTTGTGTAATATATAAAAAATTCGTTCCATTCAATTTAATGAGAAAATTAAGTTATATATATTGATTGCATTGCTTATAAAAAATATTTTGCATTCCACTACAGTAAAGTAATTAAATAGTCCAAAGATGTAAACAAACCGTTTCTAATTTGTTCATAGAAAATTTTATTACTCATTTTAAGATTATTTGTAGATAAAAATTTAATTAATGTTTTAATAAAACATACCTCAGAGTTTTACTTAGAGCAATATAATATTTCGATTCGAGCTGAGTATATACATTACTTCTTTTCATGGTCATTATTATTATTATCATTGTTAAAATCAAGTGCATCACAACTTAAAAGATTTCACAATATAACCCACTTTCACATTTCTTTTCCTTTTGGCCTCTTTTCACGTGTTATGGTTATATATAATTTATTGTATAAAAATTGGATTAATTGATTGGATAAAGTCCAAAGCAGTCAGAGCGTATAGTTTTTTAACGTGATTACCCGTCATTAAGGTTCAACACTACAGTGCTCTTAACAGAAGTTGGACAGTATAATGCAACGGGAATAAATTCCAATGAATTTCAGGTGATGCAAATGAAAGCTATACGTTTGCATATAGTTTCTACCTTGGGAGGTAGTGAGGTCTTTCTAATGCAGTCCTTGTTCTTTGAGGCACGGACCCCATTGGAATATGCAACTCCACATCGAATGCAAGTAAAGAAATACAATTATTCTACCCTTGTAAGTTTGGGTTTTAACCATAGCCCCTACAATTCTCGCAATAAATGTGATAACCTTAATTGGTCTGGACAGCCGAAGCTGTGGGTCCTGACGCCCTTAGTACCAAATCTACACGTCCAGTGTATAAATGGTGTCACTATCATTTATACTATAATTAGTATCGTATGGTGTCTACCTTACCCCTTCCCGCAGAGTTCCAATGGCAGCAGTGAGTACCAATTGGTTACTTTACCGTATGAGAAAATATTTTCCATTAGGAAAATTATGATTAATTTCCTAATGATGATTAATATTAAAAACAAATTCTTTGCTGAGCCCTCCCGACTCTATTATAATACACATGTGCGACACATTTTTTTTCTTTTTTTTATTCGTTTCTGCAGCCCGTTTTTCTCCTAACCTTTGCAATAACGGGTTAAAGTTCAAAAATTAAAGCATTAAAGGGTTAATAAAAGATTTTATTTTGAGAGATATGACTTTCGTGTCTTCAGTAAATTTGTTAAATAGATAAAAATTTTTGTCTTAGATATACTTTCCAAATTTACTTTCTTTTCTGCTAAAATGATGGATTCTAAAGAAAAGAAAAACGGTACAACGTGAAGTTTAGCAGCCTTATATAAACCTAAAACCAGTGAATCGATCTCTGCAGGTCAGGGTATAGCCATGTGCTAAACAGTTACTTGTCACACATAAGTATGTCGTTTTCTCATGAGTGCCTCAACTGCAGCTTTACCCCCATGTTGTCGCTACCATGTTGCAATTAACTTGAGTTCAATTGATCTTTGGACCCGCTTCATTAAATTGGCTAGGTTTCTTTGCTTTTATCCTGATTGACTTCATTTAATTCCCTCTCATCCCCCAACCTTTCTTTTCTCTTGCATGGATTTCTAACCTCTCATACTATCATCACCTAAACACATGTATATGGCTGTCATTCCTTCCATATTATCTGCTTTATATATATGCCTAAGTAAACTAATTCACATTACTAACACATGCAATCAGATTAGCATAAATAAATACATTAGAATAGCAAAATATCAAGATGCCAGGTAACAGCATCAACCAACCTACCTTGGTATCATAATTAAGTAACTTAGCAGTCGTCTTAGATCCTCAGGTTTTAGACGGTCGCGACGTGGCGTTGCTGGAAAGCATAGCAAAGGTCCACCGCGACGATCACGCCCACCTGTGAGGAAGACAACACGCTCCTGCAGCAGAGTGAGTATATCACGGGCCCGTTGTCCATCCATTTTGTATGTCTGTTCAGCACGAAATGTTTTTACGCCTCGTTTTGTTTTGTTTTTTTGTTTTTGCTTTGATTCTTTCTTTCAATTAAGATTTTTCTCTGCACTCGCTTTCAATTTTTAGAATTCTTACGATTTTCTATTTAATTTTGCACACTTTTTCATTGCCAATGACATGGTGCCTGGCATAGCAGTGACGGGGGTGGATTTGATAATGAACTTTTGCACAAACAAACAAATTAATTAGCACAGAAATGAGGTAAGCACACGTACGTCTCGTTAGGCGGTTGGTTCTAAGGTTAAATTCTCAACTTAAATTTTATTTTTTTTTTTTTCGTTTTATTTGTTAACTTTTGGTTTTTAACTTTTGTTTCCGCCTATGCACGCAATTTGCAGTTTCCTTTCGTAGTTGCTTTCGTAAATTTCACTTTGCACATATTTCCACCCCCTTAGCAATTAAATCCACATGTACTAATGCAACTAAGGCAACTAAGGCTCCGCAGCCGTTCGCCAGTCACAACAGAAATTGTCGCAGGAGCAGCATAAACGCTACCAACGACGACGCAAAAGTGTACAAAACACGTCACACAACAATGCACACATTCCAAATTTTTGGGACTATGACGAATTCTTTCTCTTCTAACACTTCTAACTTTAAACGCCACACTTGGCCACTGGAGCACCACAGACCACAGTATCACACACTAAAGCACGCGGGTTAACCCGATTCTTGTTGTTTGAGTTCAATTCTAACCTGATTCTGATTCTCTTTGTTTTATCTTATATTATTATTTTATTTATTATTTTTTTTTTTTTATTATTAACTGTTGTGCATTCTTTACTTTTTTACATTTATTTCGGCAGCTCAAATAACCAAAATGCTGTGCTAACGCTGTTATTCTGCTGCTCCATCATCACTTTTTGCAGAATTCATTTTAAAACCTTTTTATCTTATTTTCTTTGGCAAGAAAACATCTTTCATTGACAAAAAAATAAAAAAAGTAAAAAAATATTTTAACAAAAAAGTAAATAAATAAAAACTGAGAAAGAAAACAGTAAAAACGCAAAGAAAAAAAATCAAAAAAGAATTTTGTTGTTGTTGTTTTTGGTTTCAATGGTATGCTGCTTCTTCTTTTACGGCTGCTGCCATTGATTTTTTAACAATTTTCATTGCACTTATTTATTAAAAATGATCACTTCAGTTTAATAACTTTTATATGCATATTATTATTTACACTCTCCGCCATTTGTTTTTATATAATTAAATAATTTTTTCTTTCATTTTTCCACAAATATTAATAATTTTAATCCAAACGCAACAAAACGACGTCCACTCCAACCTTCTGTGAGAACAAAACTTATTTTTTCACTCTACAAAGTCTACACACCACTACGGTGTAGCAACAACAATTTAATGTCGGCGTATACAAACAAACAATTCAAAAACATACAGGGTTGTCTGTAAAATTAAAACAGCGGTTATTTATATCGAACATTTCAGTAAAAAGAAAATTTTTATATTTATTTAAAATTTGTTAGGAATAAGAAATTAGTACAAAAAATATATTTTCTTATTGATTAAGGTAGGTACAATGTGTTGTGCTAATATATAACAACTCTGCCTAATTGGAGTACATATGTTTGTAGAGTTTAGTTGATTGTTCTATGGTGAATAGACAAAAAGAAATGTTATGACAGAATTTATAGTAAAACTCTGATTGGAATCATGTGATTAGTTAACGTTTAAGTCTGCAACGTGTTGATTAGTTATTATTATTTATTATATCAACTTATATATGTATATGTATATTGACATATAAATATATAATTTATTTTATATAAATCACCTCTTCTTGTTAATTTATGTACTCTTAATTTATTTTAAGCAAATTTAAAATTAATTGCAATACATATTACTAGTATATTTCGGATTGATGTCTGCGGTTCGCGTAAGCTAAAATATGTAGTGTAATAAATAGTTAATATTATTTATCATATGTATTTAAATATGGTATATTTATTTTTTATTTATATACTTTATTTCTTATATGATTTTTTATTATAAGCAAATATAAATTAATTGCGGTACATAATACTCATTAGTACCCGATATTGTGATTGGTTTAAGCTAAACCTGTATGAAAATTAGTTATCATGTATATAGGTATTTATATATACAAATATAGATAGACATATATGTGTATATAATTTAAAATTTTTAAATTAATTGTAATATATAATACTCATTTATTTCCGGTTGAAATCTCGATTCGTTTAAGCAAAAGTTAATATTATTTGTTATAATTACTTATATGTTTGTATTTATTGCATATATACATGTATATACTGTAGTACATAATCTTAATTTTAATTGGTTTAATATTAAAAAGATTGACCCGATCAAAAAATACATAAAGGATAGAGTCCTGAAATTATTTGCAGACTTACCAACACCGCGTTATCGAATCTCATAATGGTTACAGGTTCCTCGGGGAAGTATGCAGATCTGAGGTCAATTATTGCTTAGTCTGATGAAGTAATAAACAACAATCCAAACAAAGCATAAAGAGGGGTTTTGAAAATATCCCGAGTTAGTAAACAGTGAAAGTGCTCAAGTGCAATGGCTTGAATAGCTTCCACATAACATGATAACCCAATGCAATTTACTTTATTTTCGAAACATAATTCAAGTAAGCCTTCTAATAAGTATTCTAATATCTGCCTTTCCCTTGATTACTAGAGTGTGGCTGTAACTTTTGACCTTTATGGTCCAATAGCTGATATTTGTATATTTTACATTGTTGAGAGGTGGTTTCAGTGGGTTCAAGTCTCACCCTGTGGCTTTCGATTTTCCACCCATACTTTGTGTTCTATTAATTATTATTTTCATTACAAATTGTTGTATTAATAATAAAAGATTTTAAATGTCATTTCAAAGAATTTATATTTTAAACAATATTTGACATTTTTTTAAACTTCATAACATTTTAGTTACGAAACACATATTGCACTGGTTTTAAAATTTCTTCATTTCCATTAATAGAATTTAAAACAATGCAATCACGAAGTTAAAAAAAGTTTTCTGTTGTATGTAATTTAATAACATAAAGATTTTCAATTATATTTAGTTGAAATTTGTGGTGAAACAATGGATTCGAAACGTATGTTTAAAATGGTATGTACGCTAAGTACAATAAATTTAATACACTAAAATTACAACTCTGCAACACTGTTTTCTAATATCAGCTGATTTTGCTTATTGTGAATAGTCGCTGTGTTGAATATTTATTTCTACGAACTTTTGTTTAGTGTGATTTTGCGTCAATTACATTATATTATTAATAATAAAATTAACATACAAAAAAGTAACAAATATTAGGGCATTACATATAAAATTAACTCGCAAACATTCTGCGAAAAATAAAATCTACTTTACAGCACCGCAAAAACAAATCACGGCAAAAGCTACATTCGACTGCTATCGTTAACAACAGCACAACAAAGGAACGGAGCAAAATACAGGAGTTCGGCGAGAGACTCGACACAATGGAGGCTAATCTGAACAGGGTGCTAAACCAAAGCGTACGACATCAACTAAATGGACAACTAAGTAAATACACAAATGTTGTTAAAGGTAAATAAAATTAGTCTGTTTATGTAAAAAGTCGCACTACATTCTGCTTTGTAGGTTGGCAGTATCGTTGGTTCACCGTTGATCCGAAAACAGGCACACTCAGCTATTATTTATGTGATTCGTCTTCATCTAATGAAGATGTCGCGCCATCACCTCATGTATTAGCCGGTGCGCCACGCGGTCAGGTGCATTTAGGCGGTGCTGTTGTTTATCCGAGCGATGAAGATTCGAAAACATTTTCAATTGGTTGTGCTTCCGGTGATACATTAAAGTTGCGTGCATCAGATGCGCGTGCACGTCAGGAATGGGTAGATGGTTTACGTGCAGTAGTTGAAAGTCATACACAAGCTATGGACATAAGTATTGCATCTACCTTACCACCAAGAGAATTACTAGCAGCTTCAGATGCAATGGTGTCAGCAAGACAAGCGCTTTATCTAACAGAACAGTGGTAAGTAAACAAACTAAAGTGTCCCTTATAATTAATAAAATAACTTAATTTTATAGTAATGCCAATTTGGCGCGTGCAATAGAAAATATTGATTGTGAAGCGTTCTCTCCAACTGATCCTGATCTTCTCATGCTAAAAGCCATTTCTACAGCTAGCACACAATGCTTGCATCAATGCTTGAGTCTGTTACAACGCCACCAAGAAATCCACAGCACAGAAATTGAGGGCTCCGTTGCTTAATTCTAAAAACGCAATTGTTTTATTTTAATTTTAGTTAGCAACTCTACTAAGTATTTTTAAAAAATTCCAATTTTAATAATTTGATAACCCAAATCGTACTGTAAATAAATTCATGTTGTGTCCTTTCCAAACTAAAAATGAAATTTTTGTAAAATTTATAATTACTCGCATAATAAAAAATATTTCCTAGTTAATAATGATGACTACTTTTCGATTCATAAGGAAAGGATTATATACATCTTAAGTGAGAGGTTTTTATTTTTAAGGAAGAGTTTTTGTTTTTATTCTTAGTTGATTTCAAAGATATGTATTATTAGTTATAAAAGAAGAACAAATCAACTGAAGCTTGGTGTTAAAAAGTAAGATAATGAACTTAACAGATGAAATTCAACTTAATCTGTTGACACTCAGAAAACGTTTTGAAACCGGTCAGTTTTATGTTCCAGACTGGAACCATTGAAGTGGCGTGGTCTCTTTGCCTTAACCCAGGTTGACTTCAAAAATCAAACCTTACTCCTTAACAATGCACTCCTTAACAATCACACTGTCTTTATCTACATCCATTCTAACCCATGTATACCGATGCGCAACTCGTTTAATGTGTAATGCAACGAAGGCCCAAGGAACTTTTCCAGTCAAACAAATTGATGTCCCGTTTCGTAGCAATCTGGCGATTAAATAATATCGCATGATTATGCCGTTAATGAAACTAAGCGCAGGGGCCGAATTTGAGAGCGTTAGTGTTATAAGCGGGTGTTATCTTATATAAAAATTTCAATACAAAAATAAAGCGTAGAGACACATGTAGTATATCAACGGATTTAGTGATGTTATAGATGTAATGAGTATCGAAAACTAATATGAAGATACCTTATGTGCCTATATGCAGCATAATATATTCTTCCAGTGCTGCAGATCAGATAGTATAAAAGTTAAGATAATTAATGTCTTTTATAGTGTCATATTTGTCGGTGGGTTAAAGGTTCCACGACAATTTCTCATCATATCGTTCGATCTAGTGCTTTGACACTAGGCTCAACTCTTTAAAGTTATGTTTAATTTGGGATACGTATTGCTGTTCTATAATTGATATATTTTCTTAACAAGTTGTCATAATGGAAGACTAGTGTGTTGTCCCATATTGCCTGAAACGATTAATATAAAACGCTTTATTCAAAGATAGGAAAACTATGGTATTTGTAGTGACTAGAATCCGATGTAGGACTCTAGGTTAAGCTAGGTTAGGTAACTGTAAACATTGGGAGAAATCTAATGCACCTTGTAATCTGCAAATCTGCATGGGCGCAAACTACATTAATCGTTTTCATCTACTAGTACTATCCTTGTTGAACCTTTTGGTACTCGAAATTTACTCCAAAATTGAATAGATCTGTCGAGTATATTTTGTTAATCTCGGACAGGCCAGTGAAGAAACGCTCTTTGACATTGAGATCGCTTCGTCTGTACTATTGGTTTAAGACATAGAAAGTGATTAATGGATTCTATCTCACTTACAACATGACAACTTTATGGTCCATTTATTGGAATACCCCTTCGAGTAAGTACACGAAGTGCAGCATTTTTAAAGCCTAAAAGGCCTTTAACCGAAGCGATATTTATTCTTATCCATAAGCTGTCAACTCATTTGCGGGTTCAATAACTAGGTAATACTGACAACTCATAGTAATTTGTTACACCTGAATTGTAATAAAGCTTTCTTATACATTATGATTCGGTCATCCCACTCAATATTAATAATTGTGTTATAATGTCTCTGCTTGATCTTAAGTTGTCTACTCACATTTTTATTAGGGTCGATTGGGCAAAGGATTTATGAACGGTAGGGCGATTATAAATGAGTTTCTGTATATTTCTGACAAGTATAGGGACTATGAATTGTTCAAAAGTAGTACACGGTTTCCAATTACATTAATCACATTAGATTTGAATTTTCGTTTAATGTCTATTAAAGTGGTTATGTTATACGAACAGAATATTTTAAATTACAGACTACAGATGACTCTGAGCGTATACTTGCTTAAGTATATGATCTACAGTTACGACACCCGACACTAGAAAGAGCCCTTAATCGATAAGTATTTATTCTCAAGAAACAATCTTCCGTCAGTACAGTGATGTAGAGAATATTTTAAATTACAGACTACTGATGACTCTGAGCGTATATTTGCTTAAGTATATGTATGCCAATGTCTGTGTACAATCAGTTAAAAATTGAGCAACTATTTACTTTTGCTCGCTACTCACTGTCCAATACAATCACTGTACTGACGGAAGATTGCTCTTCAGAAGAATTATCGATCGATTAAGGACACTTTTTAGTGACTTTTGTAGTAGCTGTGGATCAGATGAGAAACAGAAAAGTAGATAAGTGTACTCTGTCGCTATCTAGCACTTATCAGAAGGTGCTCATATGTTGTAAGGTTTTTCTATTTTGAATGCTTATAGTATGGAGATTCATTTTGTTACTTAAACCAAGGAATCTCCTCCCATATTGACTTTGCTTCAATATTGGGCATCTTGAACGTATAGTTCATGAGTATGTGTATGCGTATGGAAAAGGGAATTTATTTTTAATATTAACAGAACTACAGGGTATCAAACTGAAGTCAATTTTGCTATTTGGATTAAGAAATCTCATCCTGCAGGTATACAAATTTAATACGCGAAATTTTATTTAGTAAATATATTATATGTATATATATTCATACTTATACATATAAGCTATTAAGAATGATTTTTTTTTTGTTGTGAGAAGGTGAAATGCTTTATGCATCGTCAGCCGAAACGTCTTCAGAATTGTGAGCCCGATTCCCTAACATTAATATTTAATATACGAACTGATATACCCCCACTTCGGCGAGACTTATTCTCCCTCGGGACCGCTTTCACATTATTTCGAGGAGGTTCTCTTTTATGTTAGCGTTTTAAGTCATGCTCTTCTGATTTTCGATCCAGACCTCCACTTTTTCACCGCATTTTCTTAGTGCCTGTACTATTTATTAGCCTAGTTTCTGATTTTCCTTTCTACGACTAATTTCTTCGATTTGAGGACTTGACTCCTTTATGATTCTATCGTTAATTTTTTTGATTTGAGGACTTGAATTACATATAATTCTATTGTTAAACTTTATTGATTCGATTATTGTGTTCTTTTTCAAATAAAAACAATATTTATTTAAAATTATATTTAAAATTGTATATATTTTTAATAAGTTGATGTTTTTCATTAATGAAGTAACTTTTATAATATAAATTACATTCAATATAGATCATTTAAAAAATTATTTTAATTATTTTTGTTTTCAAAGTAATTTGAACATAAAATTTGCACTTAAGTTTGCATATAAATATATAATATATGTATAATATATATATATATATTTTAATAAAAATTTAGTTTCCAAAAATTTTCTAAAAATTCAAAAATCAAAAAAAGAATTTAAATTTCGGCTGCCAAATATTGAAAATTAAAATAAAAAATATTAAATATTTCATTTAAACACTTTAAGGATCTGTTTTACTATAAAATCTAGTTTCTCTTGCCTTTCTCTGACTTTGATTTGTATATATATACCGATACGTATATATGCTATATACTAATTTGATAAAAGTAATATTAATTTAGTAGTGCGAACTATTGCAAGGAAATTAATTTTTTTTAATTAATGATAATTTCTCTTATTATTTTTAATAAAATTTTTATTTATTTGAAATATATTTTAGGTAATATTTTTTTTTATGCAAAGAAAAGTGCTAATTGTTCATAATAAATTGCTTAGGATTGCTTAGTTTCTTGATATTTCTGCTCAATTTTCGGTTTACAGATTTTTTTTTTCAATTACTATTTTTTTTTAAATAGAATTTTATTTTTATAAAATAAGAATTTTATTAATTTGGACGTTTTGAAAATTTTTTTTTTTTGCTTAGTACATTTAAATAGATTTTTCGCTATTCTGTTGAGTAATTGATTTTGTGTCGGCTATTGTAGGTTAATAATATTTATGTATTTAATTAGATTTTGTTTTTCAATATTTTTTACTCATAATTATGGTTTAATAATTAATTTGTAACTGTTTGAAGTTTTTGTGTTATTAAAAAAATTTTTTTTTTTTGCTTATTAAACTCAGAAATTAATTTAACTTTTGCTCAAAAAACAAAAAAAAAATAATGATCTTTAAATAATATTTTTTACAGTTTAAAAAATAATTATTTATTAATTGGTTTTAATTTAAAATACTCTTTGTTTTTTATTTTAATACATCCATTTATTTTTTATTCTTTATTGTTAATTTGTGTGCTTCTTTTTAAAATAATTAATAAAAACTAATTTATTAAAAATTGACGCCGAAAAGTTTACAAAAAAAATTTTAAAATAATTTTAGCTAATATATAAAATACTTTTTTTAAATATATTGTTTCCAAAAAGTCTTTCGAAATATAAAATTATTGATTTTTTGCATACATTTTAAAATATAAAATCGATTGCTGTGCTCTGCAGTACATAATACATTTTTTTTTAAATAAAATGGATATAAAAAATTAATATATTAAACTTATTATAATTATTTCATATTTATATATATGAATTTATTCATAATCTCTTAGTTATAAAAAAACATTTTCTTCTATTCCTACTCCTACTATAATAAATTATTTAATATATATTTCATGGTATATATTTTTTTTTGTAACCCACTATAGTCCGATTTTGTAGATAATCCTCATCAGACCTTGATAACTCTGGTAAACAAGAGAACTATAAAGGTTGCAGGAATCTCACAAAAAGCAAGAGAAGCCGATTAAATTTACAGAAAAATTTGTGATAATTGGAATAATCTAGGACAATACAAATAAAGTAATTGGAATGAAAAGTATTCTTAATTTAGGGTCCGAAACCGATAATAGCACACGTCAATTAGGGTCCAATTTGTGTGTGTTTTAAAAATGATATTGTACTCAAAAGCAACTTGAGGTTTCATGTGTTTGTTTGTTCCCATATTATGCCATATAGATTATTTAAACTTTTAAAATACGTACTTATTGCGGCCAGCATTCACTCATTCGAAATCTATTCGTTTGCTTACTATTCACATTTTCAAAGGCTTTTCATGCATAAT